ACTAGCGTTATCAGCCAAATATTTGGCTTTTCCCAATCAGAAAGTCCTGCACGACCTGCTTGGTTCGATCCAGTGGTCGAAAATTCCAAGTATTTTCTCTAAGAATAAACGCAATATACATCCAAAATATTTCGATCTGTGAAAGTCACGCTACCGCCTCGTTGCCCGATTCTGATCACCTAGCCCTGCGACTGATCTCAGAATTATCAAACACGGTTATTCCACCGGAAGCACGCAATACTGAAATGCTGTTACGGCTTCCGAGAGCGACTGCATTACAGATCACCGGTAGAATTACAGCGATACATGGAAAACCTTTGATGCATAAACGAACGTCAAGTGGAAACCACAGAAGGCCGAAAAAACGAACCGGATTTTCTGGGTGAATCTCGATTTCGTCCAGAAGTTACATATTATTTACTCAGATGATGAGTAGTTTGATGTGGAATTGACTACATCTGCAACAGCATTCTAAACCTTTGAAGATGTAAAATGAACAGCCAATACAACTAAGTTAACACAAAACTGTTTAGAAGGAATTGCAACAGCAAGCTCATGTCTATGTGCTACAAGTTTAAGAAAATCGGGCGACGTGCATACATATTGAAAAGCCTTACGATGATCTAATCAAGAATGACGGATCATATATGAACGCTGAATCTAGCTGCTGCAACGAACTACCGCCAACAGATAGTTGAACGTAAATCAGGTATAGTGTGTGCCATTGAGTTCTATGCTTTAAAGCTAACATCTAATCTAAAATTATTTACACTGTTGGACACAATGAACACCGAGTTCTCAATGAAAAAAACGGTAGTTACATGAGGCCAAAATTTAAGCACATCATTACACTGCATGCTTACTTCACAAGTTTCAAGCTGTAGTTTCCGTCGCTCCTTCTCTAAATCCTCCGTCATTTCCGCTGTGAATACCTCGGGAGTGAAAATGCCAGTTTCTTTCATCAGTTGCAGCTTTTCTTTGCGTAACTTGTCGCTGAAACCAAAGCGTTCTTATGCAGTCAGATATGGGACTCGAAAACCAAAGAAATTATTACACAACGCTTTGTACAGCGAAAACCCACTACATGGGTAAAGTAGGCAAAAAAGAAAACAAATAAACCACAAAATGTTTTACATTATGAGCAACTCACTATTTATACTCGTACTCCTTCAAGGCTCGTTCAAACGGTTTCTTTAGATCACTCTTGATATCACCTTGCATGAAAGTTTCCATGGGAAAAACGAGTATACTGTTCATGTTTTGCATCTGCGGCACAAGGTATGAAAACAAATTCGTGATTTGATAACAGGAAGGAAGACAACGCTCTAATTGCTTCGATCATGCTCAAAGATCTGTGAAACGCCTCATAATTATCTGTCTGGTACGTTCATCGCGATAGGCTCACCTGAATTCTAATCAAAGACATTGACACTTCAGTCTGATTCCAGATCTTATCAATAAATAAACGTTGTTTAGCTCTGGTATCAACTTTAGATCAAATATGCATTGAAGAAATGCAGTCAGTCACCTTCTGGATAAAGTGATGAATCGGCATAATTTTTAATTAACGGTTGCCACGCCGTATGTGTATTTTAATCGATCAGACGGAAAAGCCAGTAAACGAACGTTTATAGCTCAGCATGATCAATCCATATTCCGTAGTCATACCCGATGTTGAATTACATGCTTACTGAGCGACCTGTGACATCGCGAGAAAGAAATCGAAAAATCAAAGGTAGTTCGGAGGATTACTAACTTACTTGGCGCCAAGGATGCTCGATGACTTTCAGCACTTAACCAGCCATCAGTACCGCTCGTATCTGGTGAGCAATGACGGAGGCCGGGACATTACAAGTCAAAAACTAGTGAAGTGTAGTACACTTCCGGAAGCATCCTCTGGTTACGAGTTGAAGAACTACCCTTTGATGGTTAACCATGAACAGGTGGGTATGGCTTCCATGAGTAAACGGTCTCAGACGAACAGCGACTGTGCCGGATGTTCACCCAGCAAGCGATTTGCCTGCAGTAAAAAAGCCCCCAAAGGACCGCCGAAACCACACTAATGTTCGCGAAGCTGACTTGTAAATAAATAAGATTACTGCATCTACCCTACATACTATACTTCATTATGCAGAGATTCAAGGAGTGATTCCAGAAGAAAAAGACTGGGCGGTACCACGAACACCATATACAGTATCCCTGAGGTTCTTTGTTAATCCATACGCGAAGCCAATTTATCTTCATGGTGGAGAAAGTCGCATAAAATGTTCTTTAACAACGTCTGTCGGCATGCATTGGACACAAAGAGCCGTTCTCAAGCTAAAGTTGACTTTGATTGGACATAACTACTTCCTCGAGAAACAAACAACACGAAAAATACCAAAGTGTATAAGGCGTAAAACGCAGACCGTATAAAAATTCTTCTTTTCCTTAGTTTACTTATTACCTCGTGTTTTCACTCCAGTAAGTACAGTATTGGCACCTTGTACGTTTTACGTTGGTAGTTGAGAATACAAGTTATATCACTAAGACAAAAAGATTTTAAGTTATGCCTCTAAATGTGTGATTACCTCCAACATCCGATTTGCTTTTCGGGTCCACAAGTTGTCACGATAACTATGAACTATCCGTAGAGTCGTATGCGGGTGAACGAGCAGCATGCGTATTCCTTCATTGACCTGATGTGCTGCATGAAACGGGGGCAAGTCGTAGTACTCATACTGTTTATAAACCTCTCAGATGCCTCAGTGTTCCAAGGTGTGTCACATGAAGATGGTTAGTTTGTTGCCTAAAGGACAATCAAAGAGGTGATCATTCCGCTCCCACTGCACTACTTTACTCTTATTTTGTCACAGCACTAATTTGGTCATTTGCATGTCATGACCACATGCAGTGATGAGAGCACTATCGATCACCGTGACAATAACAATGTACTAACGGATCAATCCAAAATGCAAGCTGTTGTGATTGAGGAACAAAGTACAATAGTGTGTAATAGTTGTTAAACCGCTTTTGAAAATCGTACAGTAGCAGAAGAATTAAGTCTCGAACATCCCCTAGCACATATTTATGGAACTATTCGGATTCTGGCAGACTAGAAACGAAAGACTAACGCATAAAACAAGGAGAAATTGATACTTTTGGTACGAAAGTAGTGTTCCTCAGGTTCTTTGATGAGGGAGATTTCCCCAAGCTATAAATATTCTTTACAGGTGTTTCGTAATCAGGGTAGATGACATCGTCAATGTAACTTCGAGGAAGTACTAATCCACAATGTGACCAGTTCGAAATCAGTTTGAAATCGGTTTCAACAGTATGAAGTGGACCAAGGACAGTAAACCGACCAATGATCAAAGACGGGGTTAGTATAGCAGCAAACCAATCAATCAACTAACAGAAATCAGATTGAATTGACCAATGGGATTGGCAAACAGAGAGCAGCCTCGGGTTAAGCAGAGCTGAATGCTACCAGGAGAATCCCCGGGTTGTGGATAGGGGGATACCTTCACCGAAGGTTAGCTGTGAATAAGTTGTGGCATACCGCAACAAATAAGCAGTCGCGAACAAACAGCGGCGGCACTAACAAGGTATGGTGGGTTTCAGGCTGGTCATCTGGCTCCTGATTAAAAGCCGCATAAGCACAATGACGGTGTCGTGACAAAGGTTGATGTGACTAGCCTTTTAAAACTAAAATCATTGACCCCCTCGCTTCCGAAGCGAGGAATTACTTCCAGCTGCCTTGCAGTTTGCACTTGGTTGTGCAAAGGCTAGAGGTGCGCCCTCAAAATAAAAAAACTCTGAGTGACGCTGGGGACTTCTCTGGTACCAAACTTCCAAAGAACTTCGTAATCATTTCTGGAATCGGCTTATTTTTTCTAAGGAGCCAGCAGCAGTAAGGTAAGTAAGCTAGTCAAAAACTTAGAACATAATGATATAAGACCGGTCGCATTGATGATGCCGCCTAGTTTGGTTACGAAATGTCTCCAGAAAACATTTCCAGCTCAAAGAATCCCTTCAACACCAACATCCTCATCCCGAGCTATAATCATTCAACATTATACTTAACTATCCAACAGGAGAACTGACTTTGTTACCCATTTTCTTTACAGGTTACGCTTTTTCATTTTTTCATTTTGTTAATAGGTAACGATCGCGCAGTTCTGTATACAATACAGACCAGACGATGAACGATTTGAAATGAACGGAACACCAGCATGTGGTCTGAAAATAAAACAAGCGGACAGGATCACAATAGACTACATCAAAACAAGTCAATTGAACTTTTTATTTACGTCATAAGCCACTCCTCTGGCAACAATACCTCACTGGAATGTATACTATGAGAATAAGGCACCTATCTTTTTCCGACACTGACCACAAAGAAACCTTTTAAAAGCCTATCTGTTTTTATATCAGGAAGAAACCCTCGAGGATGTAACACTGCAAAATGAAGGTCTGTGCAAAATAAACTCACCAAATGCTTGGACATATTCGCCAGATCCCGATGAACGACTGAGAATTTGCATAGGCTTGCAGCAATATCATTCCCGTTTAGCTCATTACTTTCCAAAGCAAACTGGCCCAATTTCTCAAAGTAGTCGCACAGTGTGATTATGTTATCTGCATGACCAATACCAGAAGCGACGACAGACTTGACCAGCTTTTTCGTCTTGAGCAACACATTACGGTCTGTCTCGATTCCCTGAAGAAAGAAAAAAGTATACCATAGTTATGGAGTTGCAGTCAACTCGTGCTACCTCTATAGCAACAACAAACCACACCACTAATAATCTGATGGCTCAAACAAGCCTACCAATATTTTACATCTAGTCATACAAAAATGACGAAAAAGTGATTGAATATCCCAGTTTTTATTTTGGTTCTACAAGAGTAATTCTAACGCATCACTATCAGTCCACATTTTCGATCTTGTCACGTCAATATTTAGGTGAATGAAATTAAATTAAATTAAAAAACAATGAATCTTCCCATACTCAAACCTGAGATATTAGAAGACTACCCAAACCAAAGCAGATAATTTCCTCGGGATTTATAAACGCAGCGGTCGACGAACTAAAGCCTGACCCGCAAGAAAACTAGGCGGTTTAAAAACTGCAGTTTGTTTTGTATAGTCAGTCGGAACTAGCACTCGCAAACAAGATTCCAGAATGCCCAATAGTTTAATCTAGCTGATAATCATTGGGACCACGATGTCCTGTGGCCGCTTGGAATGCCTCTTGGCAATTTAGTATCAAGGCCTTTCACCTCCCCTAGATGGGGTATCTGCTTGATTTCACCGTTTATTTTAAAATGTTATGTGGAGAGCATCTTCGCAAAAGCGCCGTCTGGGCTTAAAAAATGAGGTGTTGGGATCCTGTCATGAAACAGTCTTTGACTAGGAATACGCAGAGAATGTCGCATTGATTCCAGAAAACAAACATCAATATCGTCGTACAGCGAAATACAGTAAAGCGAACTTCGCTGATTGCTGCCAAACAAACATTGAAGGACAGTTTGGCGAACTTGACTCGTGACAGAATATACCTCGGGTACAAAGTACTCAGTCAACATTGACATCGGTCTGTGTGCTCACTGAGAGGGTGAAAATCGTCGATGACTTTGTGCAGCTTGAAAGCTGTATCACACTTGGCGGAGGAATGGGTAAATGCATCTCAATGATAGCTGGAAAAGTTCACCTGGACTTCTTTGTTTTGAGGCAACCGTAGAACAGGCATAATAAGCTTGTTTTTAAAGACTGAGTGTACGATGGTACCGTACGTAAGAATCCGAAACCTAGTCAGTGTGTGCCGAAGATAATCGGCTAGCTGTTTTATAATCGCTATTTTGTACGGCTGTCCATGTTCACAGGAGAGCAGTGCAGAAGTTCCAAAGAGTTTTAGACCCAACAGCTCAAAATTATTACCCCATTAGGTTGCTAAAGCTGGCTCGGCGACGTGTTTAGAATGTCTGCTAAGTGGCTTTTACTATGCACCCTTTTCGTGTGCGTATGGCTGAAAGACTAATCTTTAACCCGGCAAAGTGGAATAGAAACGTTAACAGGAACTCACTCGCGAGGATAAGATCGTCTGGATTTACAGGTTGGGATGTAACTAGGTGTCGATGTCAACGGTTATAAATAACAAAGTAGGTGAATAATTGTGTTCCTTCTCTCTATTCTGTAAACCGAAGGAGCAACCAAAAACGCCGCACGAAACTGCAAGGTTATTGATTGTATAAAATAAAATAAAATTACTAAATAACATCCCAACAAAATGACACCCATAAAAAAGTAAAATGGCAAGAGATAAAAATAAGCAAATCGATCGCCAGGGCAGTCCACTTGAAGAACTGCATAACACATGACCCAAACAGCCTATTCTATGGAGGCCTAACACTGGTTCCAGTGAGCGACCGCAGTTACCTAAATCTCTGAGTTTAACTACAGCATTGCTTGTTCGTTTTTCCCATCAGACTCGTGCAATGCGACGTAGAGAGCGATGTTTAAACACCGATGATCTTTCTTTATCCTGTTCTCTTAATGACCAATTTTCTGAGCCATAAAACCGAACGTTTTTATTACACATTTAGGTGTGATGAACAGCAGACGGGGAAAGCCCCATAGTCACGACGACCTGCTGTTCAGTGATTGAAATTGGCAACCCAAGCCCCGGGACTTGGAGTGGCGAACCACATAGGGCCCCGATAGGTTAAGCGTGGTATTGAACCGGACGACAGCAGAGCTGCCTACCACCCTGCCGAGGTTTCATAGACCACATTTTACCCTAATCCAAATTATGGAACGCAGATTCCTTTCGTAGATGCACCATTTCTATCTTCGATGGCTCTTAAGTCTGGTGCTACCTTTACCCGAAAGGTGTGCTCAAAAAGTTCAGTTCAATATTATGATCCCTCTTTATTCATATTTTATATATTTCATTTCGTTTGATTCCAGACTGTTTTAAACAAATTGCAATGCAATCATCTTTATAGTAAAGACCAAGGCTTGTTAGTGGGTGGAGAGCCCGGGCCAAAGCAGACGCTGCCAACACGCGTCCGCAGCACGTCCCCACCTACGTACCAAGAGACCTTTCACGGTGCACATGTTTCCTTCGCGTGGATAGCACGCGTGCACCTCTACAATCGCCGTACACCGGCCCCCATCGGGTCATAACCAGTAAGGATAAGACCGCGGTCATCGACGTTAACGGTAGAAGGGAAACGGTTAGCTTAGATCGCGTTGAGCCTGCTTTCTTCGAGAGCGCCGCCGAGCACGTTTCCTTTACCCCACCCAGTGACCCAGTGTCGTTACCCCCGCCTCCACCTAAGGATCCACCCCAGATCCCAAGTACTCCCCCGGTGCCACCCCTTATACTGGTCAAACGCGACCGTCGTGGTCGCGAAGTCCGCAGACCAGTCCGTTTTGACTGTTAACTACTTCTTTTTTATTTTTTCTCGCAGCTCGTGCAGAGGTCCCGTTTCACGCGTTTTCCCTAGTTTTCGTATTTGGCCGTACTTTAAAAAAAATCGCAAAATCTTCAAAACCCTAAAAACGACAAAATTCGAAACTCCAAAATATGCTTTATATGGTTTTTGTGGTTTCGCCATGCTCTCTTCTCCACCCCCACTCCTCCCTTGTGCCAACAGCCATACCGTTGTTAGGCTCGCCTTCTCCTTTTCTCTTCCAGGACACCGTCCACGAATTGGATCGTCAGAGGCTCGCACCTCCTGGAACCAACGTTTTTGTCGGATCAGGGTG